GTGTGCCTTGCTGTGTATTCAGAAGCATGCAGCTTGAATCAACATTGATTGTCATTTCAAATACAATGTTGTGTGTGGCGCAAATTACTGAGAGTGGTCTGGGAGTCGGAGATTGCCCAGTTCCGATTGTGCAGTGACTTTCGCTCTATTGCCTAATTGCGTTAAGGTTGTCTGAGGCACTGCATAGGACAGCCTGTCGTTTCATGGAAATACCAGGTAGGCACATGTTCGTAACATTTTTTCTGTAGTACATCATTGGTTGTGCAGATTTGATATGTGGTGTAAAAATTGTAATGGTGGGTAATCAAGCAGTGCAGTTGGTGCAGTGATACATTATCAAAGAATTTGGTATATAAAATGTGGTTATAGCTCAAAATATGGCAATCAACCACACTGAAATTTTATTGGAAAATCAATATAATTTGTAATGCAATGAAGTTATTATTTATGGTCCATGGCAATTTGTCGATACAACACTCAGTTTTGCAATGGCCATTGAATTAAAAATGTATGAAAGATAATTCTAACTTAATGATGAATAATGACTCCTCAAAACCAGCACAAATCAATGAATTTGCTTAATAGAACAAAGAATTTGTGGAAATTTGGATGAAAGTCTAGGAGAAAGAAAGAAAATGATATTATAATGTGTGTATAAATATACAATAATTGTGCCTAGAATTTTTGACCAGCATGCATAGGACTATTTTGTATGGTAATTATCGCTCCTATATTTATAGGGCTGAAGCCCCTTTTTTTAAGGTTTTTGTTTAAATATTGCATCTGAAGAACTTCTTACCTTTTCACCAAATATACATTATTTGAACAGTGGTTGTCTGATTAGTTGTTCAATTGTGATTTATTCTTTGCTCATTTTATATTTCAAGGGAGTTATCCCCCTTTTCACATTCTTGTGGCGGAAGCTGATCATGAGGGTATAATTAGTTAATTTGTGGCTTTATAGTTCTTGTTGACCTCAGTACTTCATGTCGTATGCATTTTTTATGTGCATATATATTTATGTATCACAGTATATATGATGTGCACTGTGCATGTGTTAAAAACTGGTTGAAGCATGAAATAATGAAAAGAATTTTGTTTGTTTGATTTTGCTTACAATACAAAGTAATTCAGGAAAAATATCTCTGTAATTGCAAACATGCATATATATTTACAGAATTCATTTATTTACAAGTTTAATGTTAGAATTACCTCCCTTTCTTCATGCATTGGTGGTGTTGGCAAGCCTGTGAGTTGGGTATGAGCCAGCTGAGACAAGAGATGATGATGTCACTAGCAGATTGGAGAGGGGCACACCAATTAATGCATTTATATAAGATTTCTCCTCGAGTTTGTAGATTGTTTGGATCCCATCCCAGTGTGTATGGTGACTCACATCCTTTCCTATGATTTGTAAGCTTAAGACATATCTAATATATCATGTATTCACAAGTTCACTTCATGAAGAATCCACTCCTTCTTTATTGCATGCAGACACTGAATGAAAAAAAAAAAAATCTAAAACTTCCTTCTTACCCCTGAATTTCCCAAGTTGTAGTTTAAGACTTCTATTAAAAATTGAATTTCATCAAGATTAAAATGTTTAACTTTTGCATCCATATTTGATAATTTGGTACCTGATTGTCGTCCATGGAATCCCTGCTCAAAGGAGCATGGCTCACAGTCCCTATATAAAGATGTGTGTGTGTTTCAACAGACCTTTACAATTGGCGGAGATTTGTGGTACATACCCCATTTTCACAGATTAACATGCTTCTTCTTCAGATACTGAATGATTGAGGACTCAATGTTTGTACTTAAAACAGATTGTTCTACAAATTCATTTATTTCATGAATTTATTTATTCATAGTATTCTCCCATCTCGTTAGACCACTGTTTCAGCACCTTGTTTTTCTCATATTCGTTAAAGATTTTTGTAAATTTAAGTTTCCATATATATGAACATACATTTATATATTTTGATATTTTACTCTGACCTTATAATATATTGTACATGTATATTGCCCAAGATTCTTCTGACACCAACATAAGACTTTTGACATTTTGATTGATAGATGTATGGTACATTTTGCGGTAAAAAAGTTTCCATTGTTGTTGGGGCCGGAGGAAGTTGGTCGCGGTTATGGTGTGTTTATGCAGTGTAAAGGTTTAATTTAGAACCTCATGAATGAAGTCTGACTTGAGCAAGTCTACATTGTGTATGCCCTAGCCTGATCAAATTTTCAGACTTCGGTTACAGTGACTAGACAGTATCATCCCCTATTGTAAACAGTCTCGGTGGGAGGTTCATGATTTCACCTCTTAAACAGGTGCGGGGTGGGAGGCTCTGAATGACCTACATACAGTGTATATCTATCTTTATATACAGCTACTGTTTATTAGATATACATTACCTACTGTACATGATGGGGGAGTGTGTGTGTGTGTGTGTGTGATGGGGGGGGGGGGGGGGGGGGGGGGTAGTAGGGGCTATGCGTATACACACATTATTTAGTAAGAGACGTGCAGACAGATTACACCTTGTGCAGGTCTACATCACCTATCACATTTCCTTACAAAACTAATATGCTATAACGAATATAAAAGAGGTGAATTTTTAACAAACAAATCACTCCTAGGACATGATCTAAGTGAAGAAGAATTTTTATCTACATGAAAAAGTGATAAATAACTGAGTTGGAAGGAAACCAATAGTAGCCGTTAAATCCTGAGGCCACATACAAAGTATTGTGGGTGTTACTCACGGGATCATCTAGATCTGATCACCACTGTGTGTACATGTAAATACACACAACTCGACAGGATCAGCTCCATCCCAGGAGCATGCAGGCACGCTCTAACACTTAAAAGTATATAAATATGAATACAGTAGTGGAAAAGAGTATTTTCAAATATCAATGGTAAGGAATTTTTGGCTTCACAATATTTATCAAATTATCTTATTCATCTTCTTTTTACAAATTTACAATGTATTTGTATTTAGTCATAAATTAGCCACGTTGAATTTTGGTTAAATTCAGAGTTTGAAAATCTCAAATAACCGCACACACCTTAATTAGTGCTCGACAATATTAAGGGGGGTATACCGCCAGATAGTGGAATCTCCAGCTGGACCAGCGTGGTTCTCAAAACAGCTGGTCAAAATTTGATATAATTTATCATGTTGAATAATATTGGATTAGAGGAATTTGCACATGGACTAGTAGTACATTGGGAAACTACTAGCCCGACAGATTGTATAGTGGTTATAAAAATCAATGTCTAGCCCTGCTAATTACAAATTATTAGTCTTCACTTACTTTTGTGTAATATGGTCTAGAAACAAAATATGACAAAGTGTAAGAAGGATTTACATAAGAATGAACTTGAATTGATATAAATCAACATTACAGTCATGATATCACAACTGGTTGGACAGTCCTCTACAAGTACCTGTTACAACAAGAAAGTTTAAAGTGAACTCGGATAGTGTGATGTCATGCCACATGATGGTAATTCACATCATGAAGAGATCTTAAAATCAAAACATCATTCTATATATACTGGGAGTGATGAAACCCAGACTAGCTCATGGAGACATATATAAAAACTGGTATTATTGAATTTGATTTGGTCAATATCACACAGCAGACCTATACATTACTCGGGGAATTTGATTTTGGTTATTTTATTGATGTATTGCAAATAAACAAGCGGCCAAAGCAAGGTTTTCCCCATATGCGGGTTTCCAATTGAACACATCTATCTATACATAGATCAGCATGTACAATATAATAAAGTTTTCTACTTCCTACATCTATACATAGATCAGCATGTACAATTTAATAAAGTTTTCTACTTCCTACATATATCAAATGCCTATATAGGTACAAATTATGATATGTTATTCAATTTGAAGAGGTTTGAAACCGCAGTATTACCGATCACATGCGTAATGAAAGGCGCTCAAATTTAAGAAAACTGATGGATTTGATACCAGTGTGAACTCCTATTGGTTCAGTAAGGGATATTTATGTTGTACATGTTACGTGTAAGATCTACAGTGTGTCAGAACTTGCGCTGATGGATACGGGCTCCCTCCAATACTTGTTGATTATCTCACAGTTGACAGGATTTCTGCTACGGAATGCAACGGCAGGTTGCAGAGGTGTTTTCTATACAAGTAGGGATTATTGAGGATAATGGCGTATTTCGTGTTATGAGGAATATGTGGCAGTTTACGGCAGCTTATGATGATGATGATGGCTATATATGTTAGCTAGGTCATGGTTTGTAGTGTTCAAAATGAAACATTATGAAGATATATAAATATTCAGATACGATAATTATGTACATATTATACTTATCAATATATGTCTACTGTGTATGTATATATATGCACTAGCTGTTATTAATTTAGCATCATTGTTTTGAATTTGTCAACCAAAACAGATCTAGACAGTGTCAGTACTGTGTGTGTCATACAATTGCTAGACATTTGTTTGAAGGTTACTAGCTGGGTAAATGTTTATTAGATATATATAGATATAGATATATACAGCTAGTAATACAAAATAGGACCAGCCCCAATAAATGTAGTTGATCCAGTCAACCTGTTTCTTCTCTGAGTGAAAATAATCTTGTAATCAATTTTCTGGATAGATAATTATGAAATATGATTGATCTTTATAATGAAAATGAATTGTCTAGATTGTCCGAGTCCCCAGTGGTTACAGAGTATAGTTCTGCCATTCAGATAACTAAGCCATAATCATAAATATAAGTGTTTTGGGAGTTCTATAAGGTTCCTACTCTCATACGAGAGGTAATCTCTGTCTAGCCTATAGCTATAATCCATCTTATATCAGCGTTTCAACTTGAATTTTTGCTGGTATTCTTTTTCCCTAAGATTTCTTATGGTATGGCCATACCAATTGAATGGTTTTTAGAGATTTTATGTGTGATGTTTTAATTAGATGACAAAATTTATATTTTTCAGATGGATACACTGATGAGTTGTATGTGTGTGCTGAGGAGTAAAACTTAAGAAGTAAGTGCAAAAACAGAATTATTTCATCATAATAGGGTGGTTTTGTGGATAGCGCACTGCGGGTACCCTTTCACCGAGATGCATTGCCTGGGTTTGATTCCTTGATCGGAAGTTAAACTGTAAGGGGTCACCTGCCGAACGAACCTCATGGGTTTTCTCCGGTACTTTTGTTTTCTCCCACATTGAAACCCCCTGCTGTCTGTCATTCAGGCCAACAAGAGTTATTTAGATAAGTTAATATAACTTTTTTCACAATTGTTGTAAAATGAATAAAAATTAGTTTGAAAATCAGAATAAGGTGTAACCATATGTGTAAGAACAGTATCGACGCAGTATGACCTGTCTAAACTGGATATGACTGGGACCAAAATAAAAGGCCGCTTTTAATGATACAGGGTATGGTTTATTAAAACAGTAATAATTGTAAGTTATTTTGAATATATATATTTGTAATATACTTAAAAATGCATCACTGATGTAAGAATTGAAAATATTTTTTTTTTAATCAATTTCCATGTTGCATATTTTACACTTATATGATTACTCAACAGATCTAGTTTCCCTATTCCATATCCGGAAAAACACTTTTGGAGATGAAAACTTGTGGAACAAAATGAAAAGGCTAGAATGAAAAGACAATTCTTTACATGGATTTGTAAATAGCTAGATAAGTATATTAAGACTGGTTTCCAGAAGAGTAGACCGGGGCTGGATAAGACAGGTTTTGACATACAATGTACATTGTAATTTAAAAGATGGTAATTTTGCTACCAAATATCAAATCCAGCGTTGACAGCGATCCAGATTATTCAGTAATTACGATTTAACTATGTATACAGCAGTAGGGTTGTGCTTATAATGAATTTAGATTATTTCCTTTTCATCAAATGGATTATTCAGACAATTCATATATTTGAACTTGAGAAGAAAATGTTGATTATTTGCAAAGGTTATCTCCCCTTTTATAAATCCATAGTTATCAGAAAAATCTTTTAGTAAACAAAAACAAAACAAAATCAATGGTTGAGTTGATACAATTGTAAAACAATATCGCGAGTTTATAGGCCAAAGGAGGACAATAGGTTTTTCCCTGTGTACTTACAGATGGCGCCACAAGGTGCTTCATTTTGTGAAGGAGAAATTTCCTGTACGTCGGATGAATGAATGAACTCACGTAGTCAGTGAGAAAGATTCCCCCACAAATTCTCTGTTGCATTGTGTATATATAAATGTTAATGTATCTATGCAATCATTACGTACAAGCATTATGGTCTGCTGAAGCAGTTAGTCGTTATATTTTTAGAGGGATTTACATAAAGAATATTAAGGTAATCATTTCATTTCCTGCTTGTATGAGTGGATGAGGATGTGGAGATAAACATTCCAGTTTTCAACGTATTATTTTGACGTCATTAAGTGCTAATCTATTAACTGTCAAACGTAAATTCAATATTTAGTTCAGTTGATACAAGTTCATTTTACGTCAGAAGTAGTGAAAATTTTCAGAGTTAACTACAAAAATATAGGTAGGGCTATTGTTTGAATTTTTATTGTCATAGATGTGTTCGATTTAAAAGACTATTTACTATAACTTTTGTACTTTCAGAAACAAGAATGGGACATGTTCAGTCCAAAAAGAAAAAAACAAAGAAAGTCGGTGATGTAAATTACAGTACACAGGGGATGCTCACAGGAGACACGGACTCGTTACATCAAATCAAGTTCAATCGCTTGTCTGCAGATATAGAACGCCTTTCTCTCAGCAGTGGATATCACTCCCGCGATTCTTTGTTGGGGCCAGACTTCAAACAAAAAACCATGTCGTTAAATCGTAATAACAATGTCACAAAGGACTTAAATCTCATGAAGGATTCATTTAGCTATGAAAAGTTAAATGTGGACGACCATCCAGCGTTAACTAAGTTACAAAACGATCAAAACAGACGTTTAGAAAAAATGGAGGAACGGATGTCACAGATTCGGTTACATGCTATGCAAGAAGCAGAACGTAGAAAATATGCTCATTTGTTTAAGGCAAAAAAGAAAGAAAGTCCCACTCGAGAACTTTTATGTAAGGCTAAGGATAAACTCAAGTTAACTACCTGTGATACTTCCTTGGATATTACTACCAAAAACACCTCGCCCAATGAAGAGGTGGACAAAGGGGAGATAATTCCTGTGACTGTAGCCACAGAGACTCAGTTAGTCGATAGGGAAGAGGTTGATCCGCCAAACTATTTACAGAATCTCCCTGCACTAGGTGCTGTTAATCTTAGTAAGTATCGAAATAACCATGTTATATTTGCACCCATTGTGATTTTCTTTTTATGTGAAATTTCTACCACAATAACAAAGAATTCCTCAGATACAGTATGTGTCCTATTTGTGATGCATTCTTGAAGAATGTTGTTGACTTAAATGCCCCGTGTGGTATGTGTATTGTTACTGACAAGGGTACTTCTGTTTTACATCATGAATGTACTTGACCATTTCACCACTGTAGACCATAATGGACTCATCCAGATCAATGCATAGGAGAGTCTACTAAAGTTGCATAGGGGTGAAAGGGTTAATAATATGTTTGTGTGGACCTTATTGTGACTTGTAAACTGACTATATGTGCAGTTCGTACAATTGAAACTTTAAATCCCCACTCATTTCTCACTGGTTGTACACACTAGCAAGTACATATATGTTTATTTATAGTCTATAAATCATCTTGAATAATTAAACTATTTTCAATCATAAAGAAACATCATCTTGTTTTGGATTTCTCATGAGTAATACTGAACTATCCCATAAAAATACCCATTTTTTTTGCTCAGTTGAAGACATTTAAGAATTTTTAAAATGGATCTATTAAACAGATTACCCACATCAATATGTTGACATTTTTATAGATATTAAATTATGGGGAAATCTATTCATGACATGAAATAATGCTAAGTGTTTGAAAGTAATTCATTTATTTACAACAACTACACAGAACAATTTAAGTAAAATGTGTGTTTTTGGTTGAATGATGTTTAGTCATAATTTTACTTTAGAAGTATAAAATTCATTGGAATTGAATGCATATTTGACTTAAATTCATTTTGTTCGCAAAAAGAAATACATCTGTTAGAATATACTATACTTTTGATATTTTTATCTTTTCAGATGACCCCAAATCAATATTTTTCCTGCCCTTTTTATTTCCAATATTCATCTTCATGATCCTTGTACGGAGCGTTTCACAATCTGATGTGTGGCAGAGAACTGGCCACACACCTACTCGACAGAAGAAGAGGAACTAAAATACTCAGATATATACTCACCAGTCCCAAAGGTCATCAATATATATACTCAAGGTCATCAATCAAGGTCACAACTGAAGGTCATCGCTTATTTGTTGCATTAATTCATCATCAATGATTCTATATGAATGTCAATGTGTATGTTGTGATAATGACCTCTCATGAAGGTCATTTCAAATTTAGGGTCAAGGTCATCACTGAGTGTCCGTGAGTTCTTAATGTCGTCACTCATCCTTGACCCTTAAATTACTATTCAATTATATACTCATTGACCTTTGACAGATCATCAACATATTCTATGACCTAAATATCAAGGTCATCTAACAGTGATCTCTATATATATGCATCTACAAACAATCCTTGAAATACAATGTACATAAGATTTCAAAATACATAAGATTTTATGTTGCAAGGACCCACATGTTTTCATTAGTTTTTTCTCCTGCTCAGTTCTGAAAACAACTGTTTTGTGTTTTAAATTTACCACATTGATGCCAGTTAATGAATCTACACAAGTGTTTTCTTGCCAGAGTGATTTTTATTCATGTCATTGTATTTGTGCCATATATTCACAAAGAAGCGACGACTGAATTATTATACATTTAATTATAAATGTCATGATGTATGTCACCGAGAATTCATTTTTAATAATACACAATATTTGATTTAATATAGAAAGAGATTATGGATTACAAAAGTTTTCCTTACATTTGTATCATTTTACTAGAGATGTTTCTTTTTGAATTCGAGCTAAATTTTTCAAAATCGTTTTAGACCACTTAAGGGTTTTTTTCCCTTCAGTTTAAATTTTCTATAGAATTTTTCAAAAAATTATTCAACGTTTAAAGATTTTACAGTTAAGTCATATGAATTTTTATTAAATAAATGAAATTTAGGCTACCAGGCAGTACGTGTTGATGGTATGGTGATCAATTCAACAAATCCAGGGGTTCAAATTGGTAATACAGGTTACAATGTAGGTATTTTTTTACAACAAGTTTTGGCAAGCACACAGTCAGTGCAACTGTGTGTTCTACTGGTATTACAGTAGCTTATTCTGGCAATCACAATGTCAGGTTCATATAACTGTCATCAGATTGGTGTTGACATATTAACGACTTGCAGCGTTAATCAAATGTTCTATTCTGTCTTTGCGTGTTGCAGAGTTATCTTCTCTTGTGAGCAGGTATTGATTGTTACGGCATTGGTTTTTGTGAGAAAATTATGTCGTTTTCTTAAAATTGATGATGTTACTCTCACAAACAAATGACATATCAATGAATACCTGCTCATAAGAGCAGTTAACTCTTCAATATGAAAAGACGGAATAGTTCAAGTAAATTAAGATAATAAACAAATCTAAAGGTTATCTTCATATACTTTCCTAAAAATAAAACTGTTTTGTTAAAAAAAAATAACAACATCAAATGTATATTTGTATAAGATATTAAAACTAATATAGACAGTATTATTTTGAGGTTTGACATCTGCCTTTACATTCAGGCAGGTGAACTCTCTTCTTTGGGGGGGTCATCCTCGATATACATGTACAGGGGTCACGCTCACTTTCGCTCTGTGCACCCCTGGAATATGTCAGCGAAACTGAAGTCACGCAGCTAGCTATTTTATTGGTGTCAGGTAAAAAAAACCTGACCAATTACTAGGCTGATACTTGTCGTTTGAAGATAACAGAGGAGCAACGCCCGACTTCAAAGCTTTAATAATAAGTTTTACCGTTAAAGAGACCATGAGATTCTTTTGGTGTACATCAAAGGATCAAACTAGCCTTCTCGTCTCATCCACAAGATGGTGCACACTAAGCCTTCGATTTTGCTATGACATATTACAGGGGTGCAGAGAGCGAAAGTAAGCATATCCCCTGGAAGGGGTATACTATTTTAGTTATGTTCAAATTGATTATAGATGCAGAGTTATTTTTTTTTATTTTTTTCCCCCCTTACTTGATCAACTGAATGATATGCAACCTTCATGGAAATGTAATAGAATGTTATATTGCTTGACTGTCAGGTGAAATAGTGCTAAATTGTTGTATTTACCATTTGGAGTATACTATTACAATGGAGTAAGTATAGAGTATACACTGACTGTTATTTGGGAATATAATTATATATAACATTGCTGTACATTTCAATTATGTGATAAATACAAAACCTGTTAATTCCTTGAATAACTTTACAATGTAAATATCTGCTCATGGTTCTCTGTATATTTTGTTCTTTTTTAAAACATGTGTGTATACCTGGTAGATTTTTTTTATCTCCATAAATATTACTCATTTGCATCAATCCTTTGTTCAGTTGATATTATTTTAATTGTATACATGTATATATGTGACATACTTTTGACACAAGCTGAAACATAATTAAAATGTACACAGTTGACAAATTGACAATGACCTGTATATATATACAGCTGACATATGTATGTTGATTCTCGCTAGAAATGTATTCTTCTATATATATTATAATGTGTAATTGATACTATAAAAATTTACTCTTTGTGACAGGTATATGATTGGACAAGGTTGGCATGCACACACACATTTAGTATAATGTTTGGATACCCTGAAAGCTCAATAATAAGCCTGATTTGAAAATAGGCTGGCTTTGACGATAAGTCTGGGATATATTCCTTGCAGTGAAATATATTTCGAAAGTCCGCCAGTTTTGAAAAAAGGTCCGCTTTTGAAATAAAGAAAAATCAAAAGATTCCTGTGTTACTGCCGAAAACCATTATTAATTGTTGGAAACTGTTTTTTCCAGCATGAGTGTAAATAATTTTTTTTTGGGGAGGGGGGGAATGCCTTGCAGGACTTTAATGAGAAATAATAAAGATTAAAAAAACAACAGTGTTCTGAGAGTAAAAAAAGTCAGCAGGGCGAGACAGGATTTAAACCCTGAACTTCAGATTTTGATATTATCGCACTAACCCATTGTGCTACCTGGTCAACAGAAGTGTCCTGACCCAACTGTGCTACAGTATATATCCAAACGAAAGTTTAAAGGGAGGTTACTGTATATACAAAAGAACTAAAGAGCATTGGGGCAGGGATCCTCAAGCGAGGCAGGCTTGTACTACGTTGAAAGGGTACAGTATTGCTTTCCTATGAAATGACTCAATATTAATAATATCATTGAGCTTTACAGTTAACGTTTTCTACTTGTAATATTGACAAGTTACAAAATTGAAAATTACAAATACATTTCTGTAATGACAAGTTACAATGATTGACAAGTTCCAACTCTGACCAGTTGAAATGTGAACAAATTTCAATGTTGACAAGTTTTGACAAGTTTCAATGTTGACAAGTTTCAATGTTGACAAGTTTCAAAGTTGACTTGTTATACTGATGACCAGTTGTAATGTTGACTTGTTAAAATGTTGACTTATTGTTTTATCAACAAAATACAGTGTTGACTAGGCATACTATTGACAACTTTCAATGTTTGACATGGTATACTGCTGACTTGGTATAACATTGACTAGATGTATTGACATCAAAAGGTTGCATTGTTGACAGGTTTCGATGTTGACTAGTGTTGAAAAGTTACAATGAAGACTAACGTCTATGATGATCATGTGGCTGTCTTATACGGTACTGACAAATTACATCGCCCAAAAATGACACTGTTAACTAGCTTAAATGTTGACAAAATCAGTGTTGATTAGTGAAAACAAAATCACAGTGTTGACTTAGTGAAAACAAAATTACAATGTTGACTAGTGAAAACAAAATTACAATGTTGACTAGCTAAATTGTTGACAAAATTACAGTGTTGACTAGCTAAATTGTTGACAAAATTAGTGTTGACTAGCTAAATTGTTGACAAAATTACAGTGTTGACTAGCTAAATTGTTGACAAAATTAGTGTTGACTAGCTAAATTGTTGACAAAATTACAGTGTTGACTAGCTAAATTGTTGACAAAATTAGTGTTGACTAGCTAAATTGTTGACAAAATTACAGTGTTGACTAGCTAAATTGTTGACAAAATTACAGTGTTGACTAGCTAAATTGTTGACAAAATTACAGTGTTAACTAGCTAAATTGTTGACAAAATTAGTGTTGATTAGTGAAAACAAAATCACAGTGTTGACTTAGTGAAAACAAAATTACAATGTTGACTAGTGAAAACAAAATTACAATGTTGACTAGCTAAATTGTTGACAAAATTACAGTGTTGACAAGCTAAATTGTTGACAAAATTACAGTGTTGACTAGCTAAATTGTTGACAAAATTACAGTGTTAACTAGCTAAATTGTTGACAAAATCAGTGTTGATTAGTGAAAACAAAATCACAGTGTTGACTTAGTGAAAACAAAATTACAATGTTGACTAGTGAAAACAAAATTACAATGTTGACTAGCTAAATTGTTGACAAAATTACAGTGTTGACTAGCTAAATTGTTGACAAAATTACAGTGTTGACTAGCTAAATTGTTGACAAAATTACAGTGTTGACTAGCTAAATTGTTGACAAAATTAGTGTTGACTAGCTAAATTGTTGACAAAATTACAGTGTTGACTAGCTAAATTGTTGACAAAATTACAGTGTTGACTAGCTAAATTGTTGACAAAATTACAGTGTTGACTAGCTAAATTGTTGACAAAATTACAGTGTTGACTAGCTAAATTGTTGACAAAATTACAGTGTTGACTAGCTAAATTGTTGACAAAATTACAGTGTTGACTAGCTAAATTGTTGACAAAATTACAGTGTTAACTAGCTAAATTGTTGACAAAATTACAATGTTGACAAGCTAAATTGTTGACAAAATTTCAATGTTGACTAGTGAAAACAAAATCACAGTGTTGACTAGTGAAAACAAAATTACAGTGTTGACTAGTGAAAACAAAATTACAATGTTGACTAGTGAAAACAAAATTACAGTGTTGACTAGTGAAAACAAAATTACAATGTTGACTAGCTAAATTGTTGACAAAATTACAGTGTTGATTGTTGGCAAAGTTTAAGACTTGTTTGAGTGCCTTCTTTACATCCATCCCAGACTCCAGAAAAATGACGGGGAACTCTGCAATATAATTAATCACAGTTTATGTCTGTAATATTTTACAATGACATGTCATGTGTTGTGTAGTCATGTGCAATACTTTCATTTATACGTTTATCAGTTTCTAATTATGTTTCAATTTCTCATTATTGAATAATTCTTGAAACATGATGACTATCCCCGATATATATAAAGGGTAATTTGTTATCATGTTATTCATCACATATACTATATACTCATTGATACTATACGTATGTACATTATCACTATTTGTCATAACAAACTATCATTACAAGATTGTAACATTAAATCATTCACCCCTTCATCTTTAAACTGGACTTACCCAGTTTTTGATTTGGTAAGGTTCAAATGTAACTTTAGAGGTGAATTGGTTCATATTCTCTGTCATTCTCTTCAATAAGGTACAAGCAAGTGAGGGAGGGGTGATAACTGTATTGTGGGCATTCACTACAGTAAATCAAGGCCACCCTGGGGGGTCCAAATAGTGTGACTGTCCACAGCATTATAATTCGTTGTAATATACATAGCAAATCTATGTAAGATTATAAATGAGGGGTACTTTTTGTATTACAGGAATTCATTGTGTTAAAAATGAGATGGCTCAATGAGTAAGTTAGCATGTTATGTAACAGTTTTGTATGCACGGTGTATTTGACACTCCAGATTTTGATATACACAAATGAGTAATACAAACTGAACTAAACCTTGCAATAAACTGCTCTTAAACTATTTAATTAACCTTAAATAGTAATAACCTGAAATAAGTTGACCTATACATGGAGTAAACTTCTCAACATCACTTTTTAAGTAACGTTTTATAAAGCATGCAGATTTAGACAATATTTTATGTCTATTGATAATTTGGAACAACTTAGGATTTCATTTGTTAATAAATATGATTGAAGAGGTTTAAATTAAATGATATGTAAAATAATTTGGTGATATTAATCCATAACTATAATTTCAATAAGAAGAAAGACAGATATTGAGAAGTACATAATCTAATTAATCAAAGAGTGGAAACAGAAAGTAGGAAGGAAAAATAAACAGGTGACGTGTCTTACAACGAAGAAGTTCTAAAATACAGTACATATCACTTTTTATGGACAGTACAATAAAAAGTAATCTTTTTATATCTTTAATATTATTCTTCCATTTATAATGATATAGATTACAATGTACATGTGTTTGTGTTCATTTGTACATTTGTATTGCAATGCTGCAATACCGACTTCTGCTATTATCTAGCTATGTATTTCAATAGCATTTCTCTCTTTTAGGAGTGTTAATTTACAGACATAAACATTGAAAATGTATTGGTCGATAAAGAAGCATTGTAATAACATACGCAGTTGTTTGTTAACCTGTTAACCCCTAAAATTTCATAATGAACTATTCCAACCTTTGAATTGGAGCAGTTCAAATGTGTCTTCAGGGGTGAATAAGTTCAAAGAAATCAATAATGTAGATCCATTTTTTGTCTAGATTAATTTTGTTACTTTACACTGCAAGCACATTGTTATTGGTTGTGTTGTAAGAATATTTTTGCCATGGACTTAGATCGTGAAATATAATGTAGGTATACATTTTGCTTTTCAAAATATACAATCATCAGAAATATTGTTGGGCATTTGTTTGTACATTCTGAACCTGTTTTATGGTAAAAGCTTTATTTGAGTTTTCCTATCTACTGCAGACTTAGATTTTGAAGCCTGATGAATATCCCTGAGAATGTCTGTTTTAGACAGTCTAGTTCTAGAGCTACTTACCATCACCTGACTTTGTCATGGAATTCTAAATTGACTAAATAACATGAAGATTGTGAGTTTTCAAGATGTCCAATCCCACACCTACTCTCCTCGATGTTTTCAAATCTCCGAGGGGGGAGACCATCATCTGTGCAACAACCGGGAGGTCTGTTCCATAGTGGTGATATATAGTATTATTCAACAGCCCACATTCATAGTAACAAAGAAGTACAAATAAAAAGAATGAGCAACAACAGTTTTGAACACAATCAAGGTGTTGTTTCTCATCCTTTCTATTTGTCTCCTTGTATTGTATGTCACGTGTTCAGGGTGCCTTATCCTAGGCAAATACACTCTGAGCGTGTGGGCTTTTGGACTGCCTACTACCAGGCTATTCCATGGATTGTAAGTGGGCAGGGTATCTTCTTTTAGGCTAATGAAATATCTGGGCTTGCAGGATTTTGTACAGCATAATACCAGGCTATTCCATGGATTGCAAGTTTGCAGGCTGTCTTATCCTAGACTTATAGTTGAGCTTGTTGGCTTTTCGACTATCTAATACCAGGCTATTCCATGGATGTCAGGTTTCATGCTGTCTTATCCTAGACTAATAGTCTCTGGGCTTGTTGGCTTTTGACTGTCTAATACCAGGCTATTCAAGAGAATGTAAGGTGTCATGCTGTCTTATCCTAGACTTATAGTCTCTGGGCTTGTTGGCTTTTCGACTGTCTAATTCCAGGCTATTCCAGGGATTGTAAGGTTTCCGGCTGTCTTATCCTAGACTTATAGTCTCTGGGCTTGTTGGCTTTTGGACTGTCTAATTCCAGGCTATTCCAGGGATTGTAAGGTTTCAGGCTGTCTTATCCTAGACTTATAGTCTCTGGGCTTGTTGGCTTTTGGACTGTCTAATTCCAGGCTATTCCAGGGAGTGTAAGGTTTCAGGCTGTCTGTTGAAGTACTAGAAAGGTCTACAGTAGAACCTTAGTTTTGATGTTGTGGTAAGACTGACCATGAATTTTGTTCAGGACATCATACTCAATATATTGTTGACTTTTTCTGTGAAGAATACAGAAACAAATTTGATACATCATTTGTTTAATTAGATTTATGTAAATCAGTACAATTGTATCCGTTAGATATTTTGCAAGAAATCATCATTTAGACAGTCAGTACAATTATATTTGTTAGGATACTTTTTTTTCAAGAAATCATCATTTAGACAGTCAGTACAATTGTATTTTTTAGATACTTTTTTTCAAGAAATCATCATTTAGACAGTCAGTACAATTATATTTGTTAGATACTTTTTTTCAAGAAATCATCATTTAGACAGTCAGTACAGTTATATTTCTTAGATACTTTTTTTCAAGAAATTCTCATTTAAACAGCTGCAAGTTCAAATAAGAATTTTTAAAAAAAATTTTACTTCATGTAACTTATCTGTTTTTGAGTAGTCAAATATTCTCTTTAAATTTTCTGTATCATGAAACAATTTAGAAGACAATGTAATAAAATAAAGTCAGAATTAAATGTCATGGTATGACATGATGAGGTTGCGTGTAACAAAATATTTCTTTCCCCAGTTCTTCATTACTTTGTTTGCTTACCGGTAATGAGAAGCTAATGTCAAACTTTCATCTTGTTTGATTCAAAAATAGTGACACTTATAATAAAATTAAATAAATAGAGATTCAACATCCTCTTTGAGGTAATGCTATCCAAAAAAATGTAGGTAATGTTTTACCAATGTCACAAAAAAACACTTCGAAAAATTGAAGAAAGGACTTGTTAACTCATTCAGTCATGAAACTTCATAATGAACAATTTCAACCAATGAATTGGAAGAGTTTAAATGTGTCTTCAGGGGTGAAAAACTGAACCCTGAATCTTTCTCGAATGCCACGGGAGTTCTACTTGTTTTCATTTGATAATTTATGTTTATATGTTGGATCTGTTTTTATGTAACTCGAAACCTAATTATTGTTCACATTTTGAAAACTTGATTTATTATTGTACAAGAAATTATGAAATAATATTATTTACTTCACTTTACTTACAAGTGTGTTCCATGAGTTCACTGTCACCAATCTCTCTAGTCGTTTAGTATACAATCTAGTCAGTGTGTATTATACACACACCCCATGTACTTCCCTGTAAAATGAACACCTTCCTTCACATTACTGGAGTATATATATATATATAGTATTATAGATCGACTGTATATCTGTTATTATAAGTGGTGTATATTTTCTCTATTTTTGTGGTTATGTGTAATAAACTTATTACATGGTGCATCAAATATTGTACGTTTTATTTATATTCTTGATAAAAAGGATCTTACATCATGAGTTTCCATTTCATTTGAGATTAATGAAACGATTCTTAGAATTTTTCAATTTAGTGAGCCTCTGGCGAGCTAAAATGCAAAAAAAAATATGAGTTTCATTTATTTCATATAAAATGAAAACGAGTGCGAGATCCTTTTTATCACATAACCAAGATTTGAGGTATTTATTCATGTACATACAATCTTGAAATGTAAAAAGCCACCATTTTGACTCCAGTGGGTAAGTCTTTGAGGTCATGTACTTGTCCTAGACGTGACGTCATAATTGAACCTTACAATCAATCACAGGGCTGATACTGTGTAGGTCATTACATGGGATAATAGCAAAAAACTATCCAATCTGATTAAAATCATATGATATCGTTTAGGCGTAGTACGAAGTTAACGAAGCCATGTAACATGATTTTAATCAGATTGAAAACTATGACGTGGGTATATTCACTGGATAACACAATACATTATGTGATCAATTGATATTATATACAAGTATAGCTTCATCAAGCCGAAGTTTCAGAGAAATGACATGCATTGTGTTGTTTAGACTTTGAAAGGGAAATGCAAGTCCAAGTGGATGACTCACTCTTTCTATAAAAAAACGTTTCTATAAAACATTTTATTCTTCAAACAAACGTTCCAAAAAAACGTTTCATATGTATCTTGCATCACAGAGCAAGCAGCGGCTTTGACATAGCTTTTAATATAACTATTTGTTAAATTGTTTCTACACTCGAAGCGGCAAACGTAAGTTCTGAAAGATATGTCCAATTTATTTGCATTTATGTTTACAATAAAACATTACAAACTAATTTCAGAAAATTTGACATCGCAATATGGTTACTCCTGTCGCTTTTTCCAAATAAACGTTATTCCATAAGTTGACTTACATTATGTACATGTTTATGTATCCCGTAAATAATACCCGAATGGATTAGCCTACAGGAATTTTGGATGATGCAAACTAAATTTGAACGGAAAAGACTTGACGCATATCAGTCATCTACATTGTACCATATATAAGACATTGTAAAATCTTTCCCTTTGACCTTTAGCAATATGAATCCATTGTTTGACCTACATTATAGACCCCCTTGATACTATACCTGTGTGCGGATTGGCTAACATGAAGTTACGATGATGCAAACTAAATTTGAACGAAAAACAGTTGACGCATATCAGTCGCCTACCGCGTATGACGTTGTGAAATCTTTCTCGTTGACCTTTGCCCTTCAGCAATATGAACTCACTGTAAGGTGTTTTCGGTTGACGTTGTCCATCGCCTAATCACACAATGACAAGAAGATTCTTTTTAAAAGCTTACAAACATTTTATTATCATTACATTGACAAGTAATTAAGAACATCGGCGGAACCACACAAGGATCTATCGTTACATCAGGGTGTCATCTATATATGATCAGTACTTAATGCCTGGGGGATCACATATGTTCTACTACGACACCCTGATATAGATCTACATACCATACGACATCGCTTAAAATCACGAACCTGTACCATAGGGACCCGGGGAGGATTTGTTTCAGTTGTTAAATTTTGACCTTTCGTGACGTGTAGAATTTGTCGTTATCAGGATTTAAATCAATAATCGGTCAAATTGCCTTCCAATGATGTACATTTGTTTTTATTGGCGAGGCACTATTTTGCCTGGGTGTTGATATACAGTAAACCCTTATGACGTCTAATGTGATATTCAGGTCCCTCTTTTAGATACTACTTGTAATAATTTATTTAACCATCTGTGCATTGAAACATATACACACCAGAGAGAGAGAGAAGAGAGTAGGTGTGGAGAAAGGGATGACCCAACAAGAGGCAGATGATAGGAGCGAAATATAGACGGGGAAAGGGAAATCGGAGAGTAGGGGATACTGGGCGTAGGATGAGAGGGAAAGAGAGAAAGACATCACATTTTAAATTATTTTTTATTGTAGCATTTTACGTGGCCCTTTACCTTTAAATATGACTTTAAACGTATACTAAGCTTATCTTATTTTAAATATTACATGTATAATAACCAAAGCAATAGCGACCGAAATGACTGCATAACACACTTTGAATAAAATAACACAAAATTATTGTGTATTACAATGCACTCATTCAATGTACAAAACTATACTGAACAAAATTACTGTATCCGGCTATATGTAATTCTGATGTGCAATAATGAACACCATACCCGTGTTTTGCAATACATCCTTATGTAGGAATCTTACTATACATTACTTTAACGTACTTAATGAAATGCCCGTATCTTGCAATCCATTGTTATAATGTACAAGGCTATACCACGGAATTAGATTAGATTGTTATCTAAGTCCGTGGCTACACTGAACAAAATGCCTGTATCTTACGATACATTTCTTTAACGTACTCGTGCCCGTATCTTGCAATATTCTATTATAATGTAAATAGATTTACTGAACAAAATCACCGATTTTACTATGCAATATTATTACATTTTAACGCTATATATATACTGAACAAAATGGTCGAAAAATACATTATATAAATGACACCTTGTACGAAATGATAAATTACAAAAGACTGTATCATACTGTACATCTTTATTATATATAATGTACGAAGTTATATGTTGCAACACAATAAAAGTTTACCATACATCATTAGAATGTACAAAAACAACATAGCACTTATTTGATGGCAACTACACGCATACCAAAAAAAGAACAAATAGAACAAGTCTCAAATCGTTACAGCGAAACGCTATTCTCACGTATACTTCATGTTTACCTTGTAATTACCACATACGACTTCTTAGTCCCAATTTTACCTGCAGTTACCAAATACAAACTTCTACCTCTCATTTTACCATTTATTATCAAATACGACGTTTACGTCTCAATTTTACCCGTCATTGCTAAACACAAATTTTACGTCTCAATTTTGCCTGCATTTACCAAACAACCTTTACTTCTCAATATCGAGACATAAAAGTTGTGTTTGGTAATTGCAGGTTGAAATGAGATGTATCAAGCACGTTGTCTACGTTTTAATGTTTTCCTATGATTATACAAATACAAACTCTACGTCTTAATAAATCTTTTTGAACTTTTCATAATCAAGGTGGAGTTAGTTATAGTTTAATAGTTTAACACAAAAGAATCCAAAAATATCTAAATGCATTGGCAAATTTCTAATATTTAGTATAACACTGCCATTTGTCCAATATTGAAAGGATGACTTTACATTTTTCCAAGCTTCAGTAAAAAGGGAAATTCTTTCTGCGCATTACCTTGTCGCCTGCAGTGATACATGAAGTACACTAGTTTCTGGTGCATTGTACCATAGGCACTTCCCGCTGAATAAAAGAGCGTTGACTTTTTTCATTGTAGCTTTTCTGATTCACAGAAAGTGCCTTTGGGTACAATGCATATCAGGTATGGTTTGTTTAATACATGTATCTAGGTGCGAACTATTACTATATGACGTCATCAGATTATTGCACTTAACAACATTCGTCCACAGGCATCTGATGTTTAACAGTTTCTTTTGTTTAAACTGAGAACTATTCAATACCAAGAATGTTACACAATGTTGAAATACATGCCGATATTTCCATATGTGGCCTAGAAGACAGTGTCAATACAAATTCTGCCAGAATGAAGGACACAGAAGTGCGATCTATAGTTTTATACGAATATAAATAAACACATCAATCGCTGTCACGAATCTGTCTCATTTATTTATGTTCTTTCAGTTATTAAAATACCTTTCCCTGACAGACGGGGTATCCCGTATAGGATAAAACTGAAAAAGATCAATATGTGATTCCCATGTTGTATATAGGTGTTTTACTTGTTTTGTGCCCGTATTTCCAATGCCTTATTTACATAAGTGCCTCATTAATACACAGGATACAAAGGAAAATGACACAAGCTTACAAAGACCTTTCAGTCAATAAGCTGGCGCAATATTAACTGTTTAACAACCAGAAATTCGGTTAATGAGTATGCGAAAATGACTTGTCAATATTATTGGAAACCACAATTGCATTTCGCTACATTATGTATTCTGAATTTAAGATCCGCCAATCAGGACGAGAAAATTGTACTTTGCCGATGTAAATGCCATCTAATTGTTAACGGAACCTGTATTTGTTCTGAATATATGCACAAGTCAAATTGATTTGATTCCTGTAACCATATTCCCAGTCAAAACGATCTGATTCATGGTTTCCTCCAGTCTTAGTGTATACGGAGGACTTTATTGCTATTTCCATAATTATTCAGAAACTATGCACTTTGAATGTTTTGACTTCATACCAAAACGAACATCAACGTAAATGCGCATGCTCGCGACGAAGCTTAAAACAGTGCGAGGCTAATCAGGGTATACATCCTGTAACCATGGATATTATCAAATGTCTAATACCTTTCACATTGACTGTATGAATAGAAGTTTAGCATCCCCAGATAACTGCACCATAATCAGAATTTTGTCTCCAAATATGCCTGAATTTCTATGCTCTATTGGACCAACTTGATCATAAAAAATGCACATGAAGCAAAGAGAAGCATGATGTATATTCCGGGTGGAATAATATTCCCGCCTTTGTTTGTCCTGTCGTCTGCTTTAGGGGACAACCATGTATCATCTCCAACCCATTCACAATCCCAGGGTGCAAAGTCAGATATGTTTTGGAGTTTCTGAGGGCGTTTCATCCACTGTAACAGTTGCTGATAATTTATGAAATACACGTCATCATAGTAATGTAGCAAAGTCAACAGGAAGTAGTCCAACGCCTGGAAGTTCTTCTCTTCTATCAACCACGCAGGATGCATTGTGAAGAATAGAGGGGACCGAGTTGTCGTGTAGTGACTGTGGAAGTTAGCCCAGAACAGTTGGAACGTCTCGTCAATGGTCCCTGGTCTGCACGAGTCAGTGTAGAGACACCCGAACTTCCCTGCTGGGTTCTCCAGCATCTGTACAGGGAGTTCCCAGAATCCCTTGTACTTCCCTCGAGGACATGGAGGAATGTTACATTCATAATTCCAGCCAAAGTCAAGCGTGCTAGGCCAGACTCTACTGTTGTTTCCATCCTTTGTTGAAACAGTAAAGGTTGAATCGTACTCGAAATTCTCTTCTTTAAGGATGGAGAACTGTTGATCTCCCGAAGGCTGCAGGAATGGGCTACGCCAACCCCTGATGTCTTTCAAAGGTATACCAGACTTCTCTGACAAATATTTCCTTTGCTGGATAATCTCGAAACTAAGCGTATCATAAGTAGCGAGTTTCCAGTAGGTGATTGGTACTCTATGCGTGACACTGTGTACTGCAACCTCCATTCCCCGCCGATAGAGGTCGCGCACATGATCGTAGTTGGTGAAGTTATGGGATACAAACATGGTCATGCTTATGGGACAGCCATGCGGGTTAAGCCTATTTGGAGCAAATAGTTTATCATACATGTCCTTTATGTCACCGGTAACAGCGTCGTCAAAAGAGAAAAGAACCATCTGGGGAATATCAGATGATTTCGCAAAGGTCCCAGGGTCAACTGTGCCGCCACAGAAACAATCCGGTAAGAAACAGTTAACACCTTGGTTACAGACCTCACTCGACATCACCATGGCTACCATGTAAAGGGGCACAACCCAGATCGTCACTTTCTTCATTGATGTCTGAAATTGAAAGCATAAAAATGTAAGCAAAGTGAACAGAGGAGCATGCTATCTCCACCTATCTACAATTTCATCATAGTTTTACCATTCTTTGGCACTGCCTCTATATAACACCAACGAATTCATTTGACAATATTATCTGTTATGAAAACCATGTGAATATGTGTTGTCGTCGTTATTATTAATTATTAATAATTGCTATGTTGGATACAACTAACTATTTCTGTAAGCTGGTTGTTCTATACATTAACCAAGCAGAAACGATACATACACCTACTTAAACTTAAGCTGCATTTTTCAGAAAAATATGTCTTTGAAACTCAAATATTTTCAAACGAAAATGTAATAAGTATTGAACAGCTTTAAGTCGGTATTCATTTCCAAGATAGATGCAACCCGAAACGTAACAAATCACACACGTAGCGCGTGATTTGTCATGTTCGCCTTGGCATTCGTATAGACTATGAATACCAAATGAATAAAACAACCACATGTCTATTGTCAATACTCAAACCAGAGTAAACCTTTACATTTCGCCAATATTAGTTTTATACCGAAATTGCCTATGCATAATTTCAATATTAAGCTTGTATAAAGGTATGATCACAGTAAATTATCTATACCAATCGAGCTTGGTGGGTTAAACGATCACAGAATGGGTCTGGGCTAAACTTTCCTCTTCACACGAAGGTTAAAGTACTCTACGATGAAACAATACCAAGTAAATTGTATCAGTCTAGAAACGAACACGCTTATATAGCCGGGAAAATCCTTATTATAAACATACATTGTCAGGCATGATCCTAAATATAAACATACATTGTTAGGCATGCTCTCGTTGCCATTTGGCGTTCACTTACTCATACATACTGCAAACTTTGGACTCCGTGAGAAAAAGTAAGTCCACATATCAGTTTAACAGTAATGCATCTTAAATTGAAGAACAGCATAGGACTTGGAATTTATAATACACGTTTTTTCCAAAAAGTATCACAAGAATGATAAGGATACAAATAACACGAAGATAAATCACAATTCTTAGAACGTAGATAACAAAATTTAACACACAAATCATAAGATACTCAAAAATGTTTGACACGCCATAGACGCGTACTATGAAGTTATGTAATAATGAAATAAACAATATCGTTTGAGATGGAAGCACCAAGTAGTGTAGGCCTAGTAAATGAATAAATTTAACTGCACAATGAGACGTTCGATATTAAAGTATCGAACTGTTTTCATTTGGTATTCATAGCATATGTGAATGCCAACAGGAATACTAGAAATCAATGAAGTGCGCATGCGCTTCGTGTGTGATTTGTCACGTTTCTGGTTGCATCTATATTGGTTATAAATGGTAAACCGTCATCAAACCCGAAATAACCACAAACTAATGTTTTGTTCCAGCTAGATATAAACTAAAATCGGAAATAATGTCGTACAACTACTTTTCGAATATGAAAAAAGCTTGGTGACTTCATCTCCTCTGCTGGTAATGTTATTGATCGTTCAATTCAAAAAATGTGTTGTACTTGTAAAAGACCTAGAGTCTTGTTTGCCATTAAAAAGGTGCACTCTAAATGTAACTTTCGAGCTAATTCCAAGGTTTATGACTAGAAAATAGAAACTAACCTCACAGATTACAGTTTAAAAATAAATAATCTGAAATTGGCCAGAACTAGAAGATGACGTTTGAAGGAAATACTTAGGGATCGGTGTACAAATGTTATGTAATTGAAGATAGGAAAACCTTTTTGCTTTAATTGTTCTCTTAACAAGCAAGCTAGCAAAATATATAAAGTAGATACTGTACCAATTTATCTGTTATAGAAAACCTTAATAAGTCTTATCCTAGACATATAAGTGATTCAAGATTATTGATCACACAACAGTCATTAGAACTGAGAGTAAGCTTTCTCGCTGTATAAACGGAGGGTTTTGAAGGTATGTAAACACCCTGTCTACTTGTTGTCATCTAACTACTTGTGTAACAATAGGATGCAGTGAACTATCGAACTGAATTAATGAAAAGGATTGTTTTCTCTTTCAGACATTTTAACTACTCTCGCACTTGTAATTTGACACGTATGTATAATACTTGGGGAGAAACCAATGGAGAAAATAACGTGAGTAAATGTAAGAAGCAGAAATGTTTCATCAAGTTAAGTGAACAATTCAATATATGCGAACATAACATAATGTAAACCCGATCTATAAGTGAGTATAAATGTACACAAAAAACATGTCAATATGAATCTAAGTAACACTTTCGTATATAGAAATAAACTAGTAAAAAAACACTTCCCATTTCCTTTATGCGAAATTAAAATAAATGGCTGTCGATTCTGTCCTTATATACAACGTGTTCAGCTATTCTATTTTCAAACTTTCTGATTTAGTCCTTCATCAGGGAAGAGAAAAACTTCAACTCTCTACAACATTTGTTTTTGAAAACCAATAATGTTACATATAGGTCAGGCTATTTTCTCTCTGTTAAAGGGCAAAGTCTGAATGTTTTCAACTAGAATGACTGTTAATATTAATCAATAAATTTTCAATATTCCCTATAAGAACATAGTTGAAGTCATTTTCTGCTTAATGAAGGATATTACCCGATAGCTTTGAACTAGAGTGACTTTTGTTATGTAAACATATTTACAATAAAAAAAGCAATGTTAATATAAATCTAACTTCACGTTTTCAGGGAAGTAGTGTTATTGTTTAGCGACGGAACTTGTATAACGCACGACCAACAATAATTAAGGAAACGGGAGTTTTTAATTGTTATCTTCACCTTAAACACCGCTATGAAGTTGAAACAATCGCCTTTAATACCAAGAGTTTAGTTTTAAAGCAATGACAGATCATGAGTTAATTTAAACGAGCTTATACAATAAATTAGGCAACAACTATTTTCGTAATTAGCTAAAGCTTAAACAAAATATACACCAATTTGAAATGACTATTTTACAATCATATAAAGTTGTTTGATAAACGACATAATTATATATGTATGTGTTTCTAAATGAAGTTAGAGACCATGGGCTATATCATTGCAAACAAGTACCACAAGATTGGTTATTTGTTACAAAATGATTGCAGGTACTTGTCCTTCATACATGGTCGATACTGGTATTTTCACGGCTCGTTTCCACAAAATAGTGACAATATAGAAATAATAAGATATAACTCTTACCGCCATTTTAGCTTTCGAACTTCAGCTGCTTTCAGACGGGATAATTTCTATGATAAGTTACACGATTGTGAAGTGACATCCTTCTATTTCCATTGTTGTTTACATATTAATTCCGGATGATGTCCAGTTGTGTGTCCCCAAGTGGTCAACGCGTGTGGATGGTCAGTTGGCAAAGCGGTGGCCTGAGGCAACACAACAAGGTCACGTGAACAAGTTTAACAGCAAAGACCTTTCTCACTGGCGACTGTTTATGTATATTTTGATGGTGGCTATGTTTTAGCGATAAACACGTCGCTCTCTTTTAGGATAAAAAGTAAAACGACAGTCGTCCTCCAACTTTCTGCATTTTATATACAATACATGTAAGCATGTACTTAGTAGCCCCATAGGCTCAGTTGGGAGGACCAAAATGGGATATTCCAAAGCTAAATTAAATAAAAATAATATCATAATAACAATCGCATGCACTGAAATACGTCGTTTTTTTGTATATGAATGATGTTTTTCTTTGGATACATTGGTTTTTTTTTTTATTTCTGTAGAAAATAAAACAAATTAAATTCATTTCCATCGCTTTAATCATAAATACAATGCAATCCAATATATACATTCATGCCTTGTTCCGATGACAAATTCCAGATTGCAATCATTCGGAATGCCGCTTATTTTATCGTTGGATCGGATAATTACACAAGTACCCGCGAGGCCATTGGTTTTATGAATCGTTATAGGCCGGAAAGCCGTCATCGGCACAGGTACTTTTGAGGAAGAAAATACAAAATGCAATATATATTCTATTTTCAAGTGTATGTGAAAAATCATTATAAGCCATTATAAAACGGATATTTTGTTTGAAAGCAAACTTTATCTTGATAAGTGTCAACTTTGGAATGAAATTGAAATGAAAATGAAATAAAAATATCTTAGAAATTAAATAATTCAAACCGATTGATCTCTGATAACAACATCAACACTGGAACATGTTTTTAGGTGGCAACAAACTAGAGACTTTAAGATACAGTTTTTCTGCTGTTTCAAATTTTAATAATCAAATTAACCCTGTCACTGTGGAATTCATGACTGATTTTTATATATATTAAAAAACGACGAACGCTATCGTACTTGCTGAATTATGCAGCAGTGACTCGCGTAATCTTCTTGCAAAATTATTGCTTTAAAGTAAATCACTATTTTTCGATATTTTAATATGTAACAGAAAATTTCAAGTTGATATATTTAAATACACGATTCTCTTTCCACTGCCAAAAACTTTACTAAGTAACTATGTTTTTTTCCCAATGACAATAGCTTTGATAAATCATTTCTAAAATGAAACCCATACCTTGCGGGACTCCCGTTAAGGACAACGGAATAGAGATTACGTAAACCGGAAACTTATTAATTATAACGTTCTTAGTAATAACATTACAACGTTGCTACTCAGGATTAGTAAACGGTAAAAGTCTACCCAACGTTAGTTAAATGATAATATATCAGATACTGTTTTTTATATCAAATACGACATCTAATAAATATTTAAAAATTATATATCTTGTAAATTTATAAAATATAAATATGAGACATGAAGATATAATTTACAGGACTGGCATTGCTCTTGTGAAACCACATGGCCAATACCTGAGGTTAAGATAGTCGTTAACCAGCTATAGTCCCTAAACATAGAGGTATATATATACCAGACACCGTGTTATGTACTTCAATGTATTTGAATGTTAATGAGCGTGCTAATGTTCATAAACAACAGGTGAAATCAACCGATATATATCTAAATAGATATACTTACTACTTATCGATATTTTTAACTAGAAAATGTAAGCCACAAGAGAAAACACTTTGTATCTACTCTTGAGTACTTTAAATGGTATTTAGTTGTTCCAGGAAACTCATGCGTGTCCAAACAATCTCAAACGCATTCTAACTGGTGTTTGTACAAAGATAAGATGCAAAACTACAAAATCTGTGTCAAGACCATCTCAAACGCATTATTCTAACTGGTGTTTGTACAAAGATAAGATGCAAAACTACAAAATCTGTGTCAAGACCATCTCAAACGCATTATTCTAACTGGTGTTTGTACAAAGATAAGATGCAAAACTACAAAATCTGTGTCAAGACCATCTCAAACGCATTATTCTAACTGGTGTTTGTACAAAGATAAGATGCAAAACTACAAAATCTGTGTCAAGACCATCTCAAACGCATTATTCTAACTGGTGTTTGTACAAAGATAAGATGCAAAACTACAAAATCTGTGTCAAGACCATCTCAAACGCATTATTCTAACTGGTGTTTGTACAAAGATAAGATGCAAAACTACAAAATCTGTGCTCTATTATAGCAACATACATTTAAGGAAAAACAAATTCCATTTATTTCGAAGATTATCACTGACTTCTGTGTATGGTTACAAATACATTTATCCAAAGAGATTTGTACAATATAAGCTGAAGAATGCATGACCTCTAAGAAAAGCCGTTAAAACACCAATGTACAACGTGTAGGTACATGTATCTGTATATTATTATTTCGAGCTTTTTGCTGCGTTTGTCGTTCACATCATTCTCTTTCATAAGATTTTCAATAACGAAATACTGCAGCAATCCAGTTCAATCAAAATGGTGAAAGAATTAAAAGGGTCCGGATATCGATTGTTAACTGGAGTTGCTAAGCTCATGATCACATGATTATAAAATTACCCATGTGATCTACTGCCATCTGTCTTTTTCTGTTGTCGTCCGTTAATAATTCACATTTTCGACTTCATTTTCAGAACCACTGAAATACATGTATTTGACTTCTAGCTTAGTACAAATGTTCCTTATGATGTCCCCACCAAGGGTTCTTATTTTTCGTGCCTATTCGAAAACCCATGATGGCCACCATTTGCTCTGATTGGCTAAGACATATTGATCTTCTTCTAGAGAATGACTGAAGCGATTGACTTCAAACTCAGTACAAATATTCCTTATGAGGTCTTGCCCAAGTGTTCCCTTTTTTCGTTCGAACCCAAAAATTTAAGATGGTCATCCTGATTTCTGATTGGTGGATACATTTTCTACTTCTGCTTAGAACAAAACCGATGGACTCCAAATTTGAAACAAACAAAACTAAGAGGTCTCGAGCATTTTTTTTTTTTAACTTTTTTGGTTGATCATGAAATCAAAGATGAATATCATGGCCTGTGATTGGGCGAGACATTTTCAATATATATATATACTCATGTATACGCCAAGGCAGCTTGGGCCTTTTTCAAATGATATCCGATGTTTTTTCAAGAAGGATTTTTTATAAAAGGTTGACGAAGGTCCAAGCATACATCATGTTACTGACTGTTGGGTCATTTTGTGTTAATGTTAGTGTCGATTATAATAAAATACAAAACGCAATTAATTAAAAAAGAAAACAACACATTTCGCACAAACGTTTTCGATATATAAGATCTTCAGGTGGATAGTATTATTATCATGAGCCTCAAAGCCTCATATAGTGCAAAATGAACCGTCTAAGATATGGTATTGTTAATAAACCGATGATATGTGCCTGTTTAGATGTTGGTACTACCAGATAAACACCTAAAACAAACATATTGCCTGTTTAGATGAAGGTACTACCAGATAAACACCTAAAACAAACATAAAAGTTAATGATAATATGAAAAAAGATTAACTAATCATGCACTTTGTATCAAATATTACGTTTATTATATAATGTACATCATGTACCATGTAATCAATTGGTTCAATAATATATATTTTTTTTAAACTTCTGATTTTTATATTCATTTCTGTATACATATGGAAAGGATAACAATTGTCATACCATTGGTTCAACAGTAACTCCACCTGATGATTTAATATACGTTTTGTCGACCAAATATTGATATCAGCCACAACTTTCGTTAAGAATTTCAATCTACATCACATGCATTAGGTATCATGGTATGTATTAAATAAACCTTTCACCTTTAAAATCCTAAAACGGAATCTTTTTGGTGTGGATTTACGAGTTTAGGTAAAAAGCTACGAAAATTATGATATGGACACTGATTTGGCCACGACTGGAGGAGCAAATCGAGAAGATGAATCAAATATATGTCTCCCTAAAAAATAGTGATGGTATTATAAACGAAGGGAGATAACTCTGGAAAAAATCGACTAGATTGTCAACAAACTGTTATATTTGTGTAAGCAGAAAACAATGCCCAATTGATTCTGAATATTGTACGAGTATCAATTTCACAAAGTTTTAATAGTATTATCTTTAATACAGAATAAAGAAGATTCAGTTTAAATAAATAACATGCACAACCTTTGTTTACTGGGAGGTATGTCAGAATGTGCTGCTCCAAATTTACTCTGGGATGGGACATTGATAATGTTATATAGGCAGGCATCCGGAAAAAATGAGCTTAAGACAACAAACGCAAAATTTCATTAAAATCAAAATATTCCATTGTTAATTTGAAAATTTAATATTTTCAATGAGTAGCATGAACATTTCCAATCTTATTAAAATCATCTGTTACATGGCTCCGCCTGAACATCTGAATGTGCCGCGGTCAGGGTCACGTTCAAGTGACCTTTAGATGAACCAATCAGAGGCGCGCTGGCAAAAGTTTGCCAGCGAATCGGAATATCATGGCTGATAGATAAATAGCGAGGGGTATCGAAAAGATTGGTTTTCCAAAACAAATATGGCGGCGGGACCTGACGTTTCTACAACGCCAATGAAAACGTACCCATTGGGTAATAATTGCGTAGGCAACACTGCCACACAGTCTTTCTTCTCTAATAAAGCTTCGAATATCTTTTTCTGTTCGGGTTTCAGACGATTTATCTCAAATAACTTCAGAACTTTCGCATCATTCTCATCAATGTCCGCCATATTTGTTACAACTCTGAGCGCCGTTTTGAAAGAGGGTCTCTGATTGGTCAAAATTTAATGAGTATTTATAAATATAAAGGTCACCTGAACATGACCCTGATCGCGGCACACTCAGATGTTCAGGTGTAGTTCGAAGTTAACGAAGCCATGTAACATATGATTTTAATCAGATTGGAACATTTCTGACTTGATGAAGATATAAATTAATTATATTGATTATTATATATGGAAAAAAATATTGCAAATGAATGATATATTATTGTAAAAGTAAGTAACTACATCTATACAAATATGTTCTAGACGTAACCATCATCACTCATTCATACACACCAGTCTGTTATACAAAGTCAATGCAACTATATTATCATATAAATGTTGACCTTACTACATACCGCATGTCAAAATTTTGCAGGAAAAAAATGTTAAATTTTGAAATAAATCATCTGTTTCTGGCAGCACAATAACTAGATATGAATTTTTGAATGTTCAAAGGAATAAAAATTTAATATTTTCCTCGTTTTTAATACACATGAGTGATCGTGCTATACATATAATATATAAGCGATTGGCTCTCCACAGGATTTAACACAAAATTATCTATAAAACTAGGAGCATTCACCCTTAACAGAGCTGCTCTCAGTGAAGGATGGAAACTGCTACTCTTTAGTTGGTCGTTATATCTTTTCACATGGATATATATTCTTTTTACATTATACATTATCTATTAATCCGATGAAAGTATCTTAATCAACATTTCAATAATAATTTCTTTGGTATTCATTACTTTATTAATTTTATAAGAAATTTCATTTTTTATACGTCTAGAATGCACCATTTAACTCTATTCCGTCTTTTCGTATTGCAGAGTTATCTGCTCTTGGGAGCAGGTTTTGATTGTTACGTCATTTGTTTTGTGAGAGTAACGTCATCAATTTTTAAGAAAACGACGTCATTTTCTCACACAAACCAATGACATAACAATCAATTCCTGCTCACAAGAGAAGATAACTGCAATACGTAAAGACGGAATATAGATGCATCTGATTTCCATAAAAATATGCACATAAAACATCTACACAAAATATTCATACAGCAAAGACTCACTCATTCATCATTTTTCATGACAAAACCCAAGTATGTCTCACTCTCTCTCTCAACATTCAACTGACATTTTTGTTTATTCTCTCATCGGTCTATTTAGCAGTTCAGTCTTACTCTCTCAGCATGTCCCAACACATGATGATATCTGTGCTAAGGGCTATTCCCTAAAAATAACCCTATTGGAGGGTCTGGAGGCATTTTTTCAGGGACCCATCTCCCAGCAAATATTAAAAGTAATTTAATATCAGGGATGGTGGGCAGACCTGGTTTAAAACTGACCATCCGAAGCTGAATAATACAGGTGCTTCCCACCTCCCCTATATGACTAATAATGGAATAGCCCTAATAAAGAAGATGTACACACACTCAATCTTCATAGAAAGGCTCTGTTTTGATTACAATCTGCAGGATTATGCAAAATGGTCATCCAAGGATCTTATTATTACTCATTACACGTATTTATGACTGATGTGTCAAATTGTTGTTACTGTACTTTGCAATCCATGATTGATAAGTATTAAGAGCACCATGAAATTTCAGCAACTATTTAAGAATGACCTTTGGCCTCAGTTCTGGTTGCATTGGTTGTTATTTCAGTCACTTTGACAATCAGCCTTGTGCTAGGTTCCTATTGATTTGCCTTTTGAACCTGCGACCCTGCCACGGCAAGTACCTTGTCACCAGAAGCTAAAAAGACAGAAAGGAATAACAATTAATGACTTAAAAAATATTCAACACTATTGATACATGTAACAATGACTAAAGAAGCACAGTTAAGTAATTTATAAATGAAAATATAAAGCTGGTAGGGCTGTTAATAATAATAAATGGTGAAATCACATTCTCCCACCCTTCACATGTGTGTCTCCCATTTTAGCCGGGAAAGACCAGTATGTCACCCCTTAGGGAGAGATAGCCATGCCACTGATAATTGTTGGTCAAATTACAACAAGGTTACCACAAAACGTTGAATAAAGGGGCAGAACTCTATGAATTACTGTTCGATAGCAGTGGTTATCTAACTCCTTTGAGCATTTATAGTAATTAACCTTCCCATGATGTTTAAAGTTAATCCTTTGAAAATTACTCATGATATAGAGCGGACAATGTTTCAGCAATTGATTAAAGGGGCATAACACAGTAAATTATATTCAGATAATGGTGGTTATCAAAAATGGTCTGAGCTTTTAAGTTAATCCATTGAAAACTACTCAAGATATTGAGCATACACCATGCACACCCACCTGACCACCAACCTACCAACCCACCTGTCATCTCTTGTGATAGCATAATATGTCCTGTCTTTCAACAGGTATATAAAAGAAAAACTGCAGTATATTGATGTTTCAATATAATTGTCCTCCCCTAATCTCAAGCAGCTATTAACCAAATTCAACCATACGACAATACATGCCATGTTGGAGTCGGTAGATCTCTGTTAAATACATACAGAATAAGTTGCGTAAATTAAGGCTATCAGAAATCGCACACAATGTCAAATATATGACCTAAATTCTAACAGAAATAAAATGAAAACATTATTTGCTTTATAAAATGATTACCAGGGACTTTTTACAGTTATAAAGGAATCTAAGATTAATAAAATTGCAAAAAAAACTTTGTATATATAAAATAAAGGTAGTCAACCTCCATAAAAAGTCTAGATCTCAAAAATTATATATCCTTAAATGTATTTTATTCAGAGATTAGACTACAAGAGATTACTGCTTCTGCTTTGAATTGTTTGGATGAAGTACAAGATGTTTACCAAGGTTACTTGATACTTGTTCAAACTCTTTAAGACTGGCACTTGAGTTAGAATCCAGGTAGGCTTGTTCTGTAGGAGTTAAAGTCTCTCCTAGCTTTTTCAGAGCAGTCAAAATCTCAACCGACTGGGCTGTCGCTACATCTGCTGGAATTTTACCAATCTTAGCATCACGGCTAATCTGTAAGGAAATATAACAGAGTATCAAGGTTTAAAATTGTCTGCAAAGAAAACAGTTTAACTGGAGATACAGACTTTATTTTGATTAGACTCTGTATCTTATAAACACTACTTAGCTTCAGAAAAATTCGTAATTTTTCATTGGAAAACATTGCTGAAGTTAAGAATTCTCCTTCACTTCTGATTTTCTTAAGGATCCCTGTCCCATTGCACAGTGAGTTTTTTCATGTAAACAGTTATCTCCCTTTAACTTCTATTTGGACATAACTGTAGTACAGTTTGGCCATGACACTTCTGTTGACCAGCTAGCTCATCAATTGGTTAGAGCGAAAGTATAACAATCTGAAGTCCAGGATTTGAATCCAGGTTTAGCTCTGTTGAATGTTGTTGATTATGTTTTGTTTATTTCATCTTTATTATTTCTCATAAAAGACACAACAGGTTGGGTTTTTTTTCTTCAGAAATGCTTTATCAAGATATAATTTTGCCAGAAAAAGAAAATTTCAATACCTGGTAACAGTGGTATAGCGATTATTAACCTAATAATTATTAACCTAATAATGCTTTCTCATGGAAAAACTTGAGCTGAAGACTGATCATGAAACTGGGGCCACTATAGGTAACGTTACAGGTTTTTTGAGCCACAACAATATATTACGTGTAAAGGGAATTTTACATGCGTGGCAAAAAATGGATGGTTTAATAAATTTTGACACCAAATTCAAAAGAACACTTAGATATTCTTTCACACTTGTAATATATATTTGGCATTAAATTATCCTCGAACTATTTTTTGTATACCTCTGACAAGCGCTGCCGTAACTGTCCTGGTTGTTTCTTGGCAAACAACCGTATTACTTCTGGTGTCTTAAAGGCTTCACTTATAGCTGCTTGTATAGCCTGTAAGTCAACAATATAGAAACTATCAGTATTGCATGAAACACTTATAGCTGCTTGTATAGCCTGTAAGTCAACGATATAGAAACTATCAGTACTGCGTGAAACACTTATAGCTGCTTGTATAGTCTGTAAGTCAACGATATAGAAAATATCAGTACTGCGTGAGTCACATACATGTAGCAGGATTGCAATACATATACATAATTGCATTGTCTTTCAAAAAGCTATTTATTCTGTTTGTTCCTGATCAAATTACTGTAAAAGTACTTCATTTGGCGAATTCGAATATAAGCGTCTTATCGAGTTTCAACAGATTAGCACATTAGCAAAAAATGTGCAATAGAAAAATATATACAGCAATTTCAATAAGTGCAGTCATAATTTAGAGCAAGTTTAAATTAGAATACCGCTAAAATATGTACTTCAACAGTATTGATTTATCAAGCAAGTAGAGTCGTTTAAATACACACATGTTTCAAATTTATGGATGCTGACCAAGGTTTACTGTATAGCTATTACTTCATCTATTAATTACATTGTGTAAATCCAACTTTATTTCACTGATTCCTATGTCCTCTATATCTTATACATGTACATTAACTGTTTAATTTTACTCCAAGAGTTATGGCCCTTTTACAGAGCTTGGATCCTAATGTGAACAATTTTATAAACAGGATCTCGAAATGATATCATAATTGTTGAAATCTGACCAAGTGACATTAGATTGCTCCTCATTTTTACTCTATCCCTATACAAACAAAGAGAAATATGTTTAACACTATCGGACCATATGGTAATTAAATTTTGATATCAAGAACGAAAATACACAAGTATATATATGACCATCACAATAATATTTAGAAAGCAACTAAACGCTATTTGGTACCTTCCTTGTCATGCTTAATAAGTGTGCATTTTAATCACAGTTCACAAGGGCTGTCCAAGAAATAAACATATATTTAATATCAGGAATTGTAGGCAGATCTAATTTCAAACCCACCTACCATAATATATTAATACAGGTGCCTCCCACCTCCCCCATACAATAAATTATGGAATCGCTCTAATGAGAGCTTACTTAGGCTTAAACTCAGTTTAACTGCTTGTATAGGTGACTGGATTTTTCTCTCTCAATACAAAATAATTCATATATTGGAACATGAATTAACTTCTAAAGTAATGTATTAAAATGGATTTGAAACATACCAGCTGCATACTGTTCAATTCATCTACAAGGCTCACATTGCCCTCGACCATTTTATCTAGGGATTCCTTAAACTCCTTTAACTGTTCAATTGTCTCATTCTTGGTCTCCTCGTACTCTTCTTCATCAAAGTCATCTCTGGAAGGAAAATGTCAAAAAAAAAAACAAAAAAAAATATTTATAACAATATTATGACTCAATATGATTCATATGGGTTTACTGTAATCATCATTGATATTCATTGTAGTTTAATCCGTTCACCCCTGATCAAGTCACATTTGAACCTTACCAAATTAAAGACTGGGCAAGTCCAGTTTAGATTTGTAGGGGTGAATGAGTTAATATATATAATTCTTTTCTTGACTCCTGATGACACGGATGGTGTACATGTGACTGTGACGAAGTAGGAGGAACCTGAACCGGTAGTTTTCCTCCTGGTTTTCCAGCTTTCCTCCACCACCAAAACCTGTTACATGTGTATGTCCTTAAATTACCATAGATTTTAATAGGATGTAATTAAAGCACAAACAAACCAAACCAACGCGTAGTCACTTACTTTATATCAAAATTAAATGTAGCGCACTTGTTCAACAACACATTTCTATCATAACTATATATAGATCAAGACATATAGCTTTAAAACAGTTGAAGTCCTTAAAGTTTTTAAAATCCTAATCAGCTAAATAATAACTCAATTCAAAATTTTAATTTTGTATAGTTTTAAAAGATTGAAATTTAAAACTTAATGTACATGTTTACATATATACAGGAATTAAAAGCAATAAAGTGACAAGAAAGAGTGACAAAAAAACAACAACTAAAATTACCTAAATTTTCAGACATTTCTCAAAATCACATTTTGAATAAGCAAACTGTAAGCAGGCTTTGAACAACCAGCCCAGTTGCACATGGAAATGTTGTAAAATATTAAAATTTTGAATTTCAATCTTTCTGAAACATAATTTTTATTCTACACATTAATATGCTTAGAATGCTGCATCTGGCTTCATTATTTTCACAATTTCCTTGGGGGAATGATAAAAACTGTATTACAGACAAACTTTGATGATCTGGAAAAATTCTAAACATCGGGACTTTGACTCAAGGATATTATAAAACATCAAGATCCTGTAAATAAGACAGATTGTGATTCTTAAATAAAGTAAAGAAACACAGGCTAATACATTTAATTTTAAATATGAATATTGGATTGCTTATTAAATTTAATATTTCTTTGTCAATTAAATTTCCAGAGCCTGTGCTATTAAAATAACCACAGAATATTTCAATGTTCTAGTACAGGTGATTATTTCACTTCGATTTATTAGTAGTAATTGTCAATGTTTTTATAACGTAGGGCATTGATTATACTCTGAAACAGCGAGAAATTTGAATTATTAAAGTTTGATTCATGAGACAAATATAAGAAGTGTTATATGTAAGGGGTAGACTCTGGACTTTGCCGTAAGTTCGACACATCGAGAATTTCAAATCATCGAAATTCAATTCATGGAAGTTTGACTGTACAAATTATTCTACTTACTTGCATTCCTCTAGGTCTGCTAACTGCTGTACGAGCCTCTCCAGCTGTTCCTCCAGGTTGTGTCTTAATTTTGAGGTTTCCTGTGATCCCCGTGAAGCCATTTCACCTTATGTTTTACATGTGTACTTGTTAAAAGGTACCGAAAGTCGAATCCAACTGAAACATTAGAAATTCAATTCTGAGATCCAGAACTCTAAGTATTTACTTAATGAGTTTATTAATGCAGAAACCTACAATAAAGGTCTCTGTCAGATTATTACAACTGGATTGGTAAACTGCAATGAGAAGGACCAGAAATTTGAACTCCTAAACTTTAAGGAAAGGAGTTCCAATCACAACACAGCTCCGGTGTCACCAGTTTGAGTGGGTGTTTGTAAAGGCCACTACTTTTAACCCCCACAAACTGGTGATGGCTTTATATTAGATATTGTGATTTGAACCCCTCCCCTTACATTTACATATACATGTATCCGATACCATCACCCTGCATATCCTTTGGTATCAACATTCAGAGCGCCTAACTGATCTACTGCTTTGACTTCATCCTGAATTCATCCCCACCCTACCCCTAGACCCACACACAGCTTCGTTTTCTTCTTTTATGAAATACGTTTTCATGTCAATAATCATTTAGTTGAAAAGTCTAAAACTTTTTCTGTTCATGACATATTAATTAAAAATAAATAGATACTGTCTATGCATAAATGTCAACCTGCAACAAATTAAACTTGTATCATACAAGTTTAATTTGTTGCAGGTTGACATTTATAGTTATAAAGATAGCGCTGTATGGATCTAAGAAGATCAGTCATGTAAATATATGTAAATATGCATTGATCAGCAATGACACTATCTTTATCACTATTCCTCATCTTACTATAAACTGGTGCTGTTGACCCGACAGACGCTGCTGTATGGCATAAGCTCACCATAGTCCTTCCGAGCAGGTGAGCTAAAAAAGGGGGTAATAGTGCAAAAGATGTGCATTGATTAGGTTGCCGTACAAGTGTCAGCTGTAGAGGATTTCCGTTTAGCTCAGCACGCGGTACTCTCATGATCAGCTATAATGAGATCCTAAATATTTTTATAGCTGAGAGTAGAAGCACACTAAACAATTATACATAATTTATAGTTTAAGTCCACTGCTGTTATTATCTGTTCGCAAATATGAATATAAACTTTCTTTTAAAACAATCATGAAACATTTAGTTATTTCAACTTATAATTAAACCAATCACTCTTGTTGCCCCGGATGTAATTAGCTCACGGAGGTGGTGGAGGTGGTGGTGGTGGCGGCGGGGGGTGGG